TTTGGTTTTTTGCCGCTGGTTTCTACGTCATGATGCTGAAGACCCTCGTTTCCTTGCAAACATTCTTTTTACTGATGAGACCGGGTTCACAAGAAATGGAGTGTTTAATTTTCACAATACGCATATTTGGGCCGACGAAAATCCTCATGCTCTAATAGAATCTGGACATCAGGCACGTTTTTCATTAAACATTTGGATGGGTATTGTAGGTGACAGGTTTCTAGGTCCTGTTGTTTTACCAAACCGATTAACAGGCGCTGCTTACCTCAACTTTCTGCAGAACACACTGTATGAGTTTTTGGAAGACATTCCTTTGAATCAGAGGCAACAACTGTGGTTCCAGAATAATACATCAAACTTCTCCACATAGATGGGTAGGAAGGGCCGGACCTGTTTTATGGCCTCCAAGATCGCCTGATCTGAACCCTCTAGATTTCTTTGGGGATATTTGAAGACATTAGTGTATGGTACTCCTGTAAATAGCCTGGAAGAGCTGCAGCTACGGATTAATCAAAAGTGTCAAGAAATCCAAACCAAGGAGGGTGTTTTCGAAAGAGTTCGAATATCGTTGAAACGAAGATGTCGTGCCTGCTTGGAAATGGACGGAGGGCACTATGAACATCTTCTGTAACTTTGTTTTTTGTTTGTTAAAAGCTTCCTTTGTCGGTTTATTCCTAAATAAAATGTTTAAAAAACGAATAGTGGTCCATATCTCCGCAACCGTTACTTTGTGGATCCATGTTTATTAAGACTTTTCTGCTTATTTTGGTTCATACTATTACCTCCTGAAATATTTTACACTCTTTTTTTAACACCCTGTATATCTAGCGCCGATTCAGCATGACGAAGTGGTTGTATAAGAAACAAAAGAGTAAAAACATACAGTATTTTGCTTAGAATATTTGTTAATTACTGTTTCAAATTTGCTGTGCACTATGAAAGATTCACAACCAGTGCTTTAAAAAAATCGTACCATATTTTTGTACTTGAAATTATCGAAAGTCTACCAAATAAACTAATCTAATAATGGAACTTTGCCCTTTAGAACTCCCCTCTGATATTACCAAGCTTACTATTTATTGACTTTATTTTAAACACACTCTGCGTTTACATAACATATTTCACTACCCATTGTAGTACTCGCATATCGCAATTTGTCCGTCAGTCGCAGCCGGCTGGGTATGAATCCTGTTGGGCTCGATCGGCATTTGTCTCCCTCGCTCGGCCTTGAAATGTTTCACCTTTTGCCGAACCCAGCACGACGCCGGTTCCGATTTGTAACTCTGACAGAAGTTTCGCAATCGACTTCGGGGTACGCTCGGGACAGATTTATAGGAGCTGTCGTACGCTGCTTCCAAGAAACTCGATCCGTATAAGGCTTACAGGACGGGAGTAATAATATGCCGCCCCCGCGCGCTAGAGCCTAAGTACAGGATGGCTGATATGTACGGAAACGGTCGATTATTTCCTAAAGGAAGATGGCTAGCGAAAAATCAATAATCATAGGAGGCACAAACGTTTTAGTTTTTTTTTAAACTTATTACAACAAAAAAAAATTATGCAGGATCAGTCAGAAAGTCATGACGAAACAAAATTGCTTTTTCGTTAACGGAACACCCTGTATATTATTGCATATTTCAATTCTCCTCGAAATACTAAACAAAATTCATATTTTTTTTATTATTTTACCCATTAACGAATCGATTCTACCCGAAATAGGATCTCGCCCTTCCTTAGCCAGGATCAAGGTCAATTAGAGGTTAGATTGAGAAAAAGTGCATTAAATCAAAGGATCTCGGCTTTTTGGGTCGCAAAATCCGAATCTGAGGTTACTTTCTCTGTATCAGGCCATTTTAAGATTGTTTCAAGACCATTGCAAGGTCAAATTGAAAAAATCGAGCAGTTATGTCTAACCGTTTGTTATATAGGTTTTTGGGATAGCTAGGTTCGAATCCGAGGTCAGCATTATGTCATTTGAAGGTTATTTCAAGGTCATTTAAAAGCCAAACCAAGAAAAAATCGTGAAATCGAGTTTGTATCCAATTAAATGACGATTTAGTCCTTCACTACTTGATTTGTGTTGATTAGCTTAATACGAACCAAAGGTAAGAAGGAGTGGCCAAGTTTCAGGTCAAGATATCACTGATGTGGAACCCATGCGAAATCCTACAACCTTTGTACAGGTCATTACTCATTATCAACGATTTTAGTTTCAGTCGAAAACAGATGGGTCTGAAATCGCCTCTCACCGACCCTACCAGAGGTCCCTTTTCTCAAATCAACCTTGGAATAACCTTGAGCCTTTATTAATACATATAAGAACAGTAATTGATTCCAGGGTTTATTCCATAAATTAACTTTCAAATGACCTGAAAATGGCCTTGAAATGACCTGCCACAGATAAATTGACCTCATATTTAAACTCGGCAACTCCAAATACGTGTATAACAGGCGATTAGACTTAATTGATTGGCTTTGCTGAACTTAACCTTGAAATGACCTTGAGACGACCTTCAAATAACTTGATACCGACAAACTGACCTCGGAAGCGACATCAAAATCCTGTATAACATGTGGTCGGACTTGATGATTGTTAGGCTTTTTCTCAATTTGACCTTGAACTGACCTTGAAACAATCTTAAAATGGCCCGATACAGACAAACTAACCTCTAAACTAATTTGGACTCGGATCCTTTGATTTAATGCACTTTTCTCAATCTGATTTTGACAATAACACAAGGTGGAGGATATGGATATGATTTAATTTTATTATTAGTTCTTTACAGAAAATAAAAAAACATAATATCCAGTTCAGGGTTGATAAAAATGCATGAAACGAAAAAGTAGTTTTTAATGAAAGTCCTGGATATTTTAAATTTTATAAAAACAATAGTTATGCCAGAACAAGAACAGAAAGAAGCAAGTTTTAAAACACAACAAATACTTTCTTTGGAATTCTATTTTATAGGGCGCTCAAAGTGTTCACCATTTACCTCCTAACAGTAATGAATTCGCTGAAGAAAATTTGTAGTGAATCTAAAGGGGTGTCGGAAAGAATAATGGAAATTTCAAGCCTGGTTTCCTGCAGCTCTTCGATATTTTGCGGCCTATTTTTATAGACTACATTTTTTACATTGTCTCACAGAAAAAAGTCAAAAAGTCAAGCGGGGTCATATCGGAAGACCTAGGTGACCCTTCAATTGCCCCTGTGCATCGAATCCATTGAATTGAATGGAACATCTAGTCATATTCTGATTTAAAGCCCTCTGGTGTGTCGAATTTACTGGAATTTCCACCACATCTAACTTAACATTCAAAGAATTTTCTTCATTTGTACCGCTTACTGGTCTTCCACTTTTTCGTCGATATGCAACTCCTCCAGTTTCATGAAAACGCCGCGATGTTTTTGAAACGGTCGATTTAGAAATACGTTCCCGATCGGGATGCAATTCATGAAAAATATCCACTACTTCGTCTTCAATCACCACATCTTATGATCACTAAAACTTCAATACTCTCGGTTTCAATAAGACGTGGCATTTTCGCGAGAAAATTATTCACACCAAATGTATTTTTGACATGTGTTGTCAAAATATGTCCCTATTAGACAAAAGAACGATGCGGCGTTGTTATGGAGCTAGAAACTTTCAAAGGAAACTTGATGGACGAAAATATTTTTGTATAATTTATAGGAAAATGATTTTCAAAGTCCGATATCTCGAACGAAACGAATATACCGATACCTCGTCGTAATAGTATGCTATCCCCTCCTACGTACAACTGCATTAAAAAATCTGAAGTAACGGCTTTGTCAAATTAAACTTTCGGCGTCACCCTGAGAGCACTACTTTCTTATTTCAGCACGTAAAGGTTCTCTTTTTCATGTTCGTCGTTGGAAAGTTCTCACGCGTATCCACTATTTTCTGCCGTAATTGTTAAAATAATTATGGCTCGTTTGCAAAGTTGAAGCTGTGTTAAATAAATCATTTTTAAATTGGATAATTAGTACCAGGCAGCTGCCCGAAAAGCGACCTACACTACTTTCTCGTGATAATCGTTTTGAAACTGACTCTTCCATTCTGTATGTTATTTTTTTGCGTCAATTTAACGTGGGCTTATAGATTGTAGTCATCTAATTGTAACAGTATCCAGTATCGAATACTGCTAATGCTAATAGTACGCCTTCCCTTCCTACGAATAATTACACTGATGACTTGAAATTAAACAATGGATCCTTAAATAGATATAACGGGTCTAAGAGATTCCTTGTAGCTCCATTATTTTTGTTCGATATTGTCTACCCTGTTGACACAATTTTTTAAAAACTAGGCTTGAACTGTACTGTAGCATTGTTTCTAAAAAAAATTTAATGATTGGGCACCAGGTCTAGGTTAACTGGTTTTGTCTGTGATGGCAAATAAAATGATTCCAACTTTTTTTTATTGCTAAGGACGCAACATTTCCGCTACATTTCACAACAAACGTTACCAGGAAATATTTTTTATAACTAGCGTAACATTTCTGTACCGTTAAATTGCATGTGGAAGTCGCAAGTTCACAGTGTTCACCCTAGATTTTTTTAAAATGAGGTTTCAGCGTTATACATTGCCATCGTGCACCGTCTTTTTATGCAGGGCATACACAAATAGCAGTACGAAGGCTCAGGATCTCAGAAATACTTAAAAAAGTTCAATGTTTGTGTCAAAATGACGTTATTCAAGTGTCTGGACTACTGTTCTTCTTCTTCTTCCACTGATTTAGACAGGTCCTTGTGAAATTCATGGATTGGGACACTTCTATTAGGATACATCGAAGTTACTGTAACTTATTTGAAAATGACAAGATGTACACAAGAAAATTGCATGAAATCACGAAAAATAATGCTGTTAATTTAAAAAATATATCTGGCGGCAGTAGATCTATAATCTGTTAAAAAAAATAATGTAAAAGTACTAAACACACCGAAATACTCAGTAATCCACGTTTTTCTTTTGTCGCAGGGCCAACCATGATCACCTACAGCAACGAGCAGCTAGCCACAGTGGTAGCCCTCCCAACAGTTACCATCCTCCTGGTCTGGACGGTGGCGATCTTCCACAAGAACAGAAAACGTTGGGGACCCTACGACATCCCCATAATCTCGGTTTTGGTGTTGTCCATCGTCAGGAACCTCACCGTACTTGTGTACCTTCTCTCCGCCACGCTGATAGAAAGAGACAGCTTCAATTTGGACTACTGCAGCATCATCGTGTGGATCTTCAACTCGATCCACACGTTCCAAGCTAGTTCTCTGACGACCATTGCGGTGATAGGGTTGTTTTCTGTCAAGTTGCATCAAAAACAGCAGAATTTGAGGCAGTTCCTGACCCCCACCCATATAATTTACCACCTATTTTGCCTTACTACACTCTGCGCTTGCGTTGGGGTGGCAGCCATCTTAGCCCAAGGTGACAGAGATGGCGTGTTCGAGAGTTTGTCCAGAGCTTTCGATGTTAGCCCTTGTAAGTTCATGCCGTTCGACTTAGACGTTAAATTCAACGTTTTCATCCTCGTCTTGCACTTGTTCCTCGCCGTTATATCCCTCTTCAGCTTTCTTATCATCTGCTACAACTTCTACAGGGCAAAGAGGCCAAGTTTCGACTACATAAAGAAGTCCAACTCCGACCTAAGCGATATGAGCTTGGGAATGACGAACACGCTGAACGTAAACGTGGCTGAGAGCAACAAACACTTCTACGACACGTATACCATAAACAGAGGCCAAACTAACCTGGAAAACAACAACTACTACGACCAGAATCAGCACCAAGCGCAGAACAGCGCGCATTATCAAAACGGGTATTGTACTACGAGAGACGTGAACTGGAATTCGGACGTGTCCAACCTGTCGGCCACTGTAAGCTCTACCAACTCCAGGAGGCCTTGTTTGGTGAATAACCTGCAGGATAAGGACATGGGGGATCTAAATAGAACAGGTCTGGAGACTATACACCCGGTGCTGATCGTGTGCTACCTGTTTTACCATTTGCCCTTGATTGTAAGTGTATTGTTTCTCAATTCAACTACCTCGATTGGCCGCTAGAGGTCGTCGCAGTTGGAAAACGTTTTTGTTTCTTCCAAAAAACTTTAAAACGCTTCGCTATTTAACGCCCTCTAGCGGCTTAAGATAGAAATAGATAGGAAAAATCGGAACAATATGCGAAATGAACGGCACATTACAATTTCGATGCAGAGAATAAACAAAATCATTTTATCGGATCGAGAAATAACTTGTAACTATTAAATGTCCGTGTACCTCAAGACAGAAATCCACGACACATCAACTATTACAAAACATTGTTACGTTCCCTGCATCTTTCTTTGTTACTGGCAATCCATAAACCATAACTAAATTATTAAATTAATTCCATTCCCGACAACAGAAACGGCGATGCATGCTCCAAAAAGGTGGTTAATTGGTATACGAGCTCAATGGATTCGTAGCAGTGTTGCGTAACTGTAATTAATAGTAAAAGTAAAAGTAATTTTTTTTTAAGTTAACGGACATTGACGCCGAGGTCTTTGTTGTCTTTTTTTATGTGTATTTCCGGCGTTAGTATCTATTGAGTGTCAAAGAAAGTTGGTGTGTTATTGTCTTTGCTATGTAACGAGGAGGAAATTCTTATAGAAAATATCCGGAAGTCAGAATCTAAAGGAAAACGAACTCTTGTTAAATATCGACCTTAAATGAACCCCCAATACGTCGAGCATAATATTGGTGAAATTATGCAACCGATAGATGGCGCGCTGTTTTTGTTCGGTTCATATTTAAAATAAGCCATTATTTTAACTATCGTTAAGACCTTTTTAGTAATGACGTCACATACGCCAAATAATCGGCAATATTTTTACTAGACCGATTTTCGACCTTATGTAGGTACTTTAGACTTAAGTGCGAAAAAAATTTCTTCTTTGTCATGACCTTAAACATAGCGATATTCTGGCAATATTAGAAATATTTAAGAAGTTTCAAACCCCAGTTTGTCACAAACTAAAAGAATTATAGAATTTATACAGGGTGATCCATTAACGATATCAAGCGGTTGTATATAGGAAACTAGACGTGCTACGATTACGGGGTAAAAAATCTATTAACAAGCACTACAAAAAAAAATTGATTTAAAATATTTTCAAGTTTGTAACTTCACCGCTAGGGGGCGCCACTGCTATAGTGTTATAGAAAATTGTCGGTTTTTTGAAATTTCGCTTATATAACCTAAGTTGCAAATACATTTTTTAGATACGCTGTTAAACCCTTCACAAGTTTTGTTAGAACTTTTTTTTTGTTATTGCCATAGCAACGCCAGTATGAAGAACGCCAACTTGAAATTTTTAAATTATCAACTTCTAAATGCCTTAATCGATTTCAATAAACGATGGCTCATTTTAAAGAACTATTAATAAAATTTATATTTATGACATACGAATAAAAATATTATTTTCCTGCACAACGGTAGACGACGCTAATGGGAAAAGTTTTGTAATTGTCTCCGTTTACTAAAAAAATAAAATAAAACGATATAGGTTTTTATTCATGGCTTGATAGACCATTTATTATGGAAAACAAATACACAAACCGGAGGTCGATATCTTTTTTTATTTTCAAGTTATTGCGCAGGAAAATAATATTTTTATTCCTATATCATAAAAATAAATTTTATTAATAGTTCTTTAAAATGAGCCATCGTTTATTGAAATCGATTAAGACATTTAGAAGTTATGACAATTTAAAAATTTCAAGATAGCGTCCTTCATATTGACGTTGCTATGGTAATAACAAAAAAAAAGTTCAAACAAAACTTGTGAAGGGTTTAATAGTGTATCTAAAAAATGTATTTGCAACTTAGGTTATATAAGCGAAATTTCGAAAAACCGACAATTTTCTGTAATACTATAGCAGTTGCGCCCCCTAGCGGTGAAGTTACAGACTTTAAAATATTTTAAATCAGTTTCTTTTGGTCGTATTTGTTAGTAGATTTTTTACCCCAAAATCGTAGCACCTCTAGTTTTCTATATACAGCCGCTCGATACCGTTAATGGATCACCCTGTATATTTAAATTTATAGAATATTGACTTTTATAGTAATTAATAAATTAAAATTATATCAATGCTACTGAGCATGCGCATTAAAGATAATTTCATGTAAGCAATGTAGCCTCGCAACAGGATATCATTCAAGAAAAGTTTGGTATCGGTTAATAAACCACTAGAAGAAAAACATTCGATAAACACACTGACACACCAAAATAATAAGAAAAACAATAAAAATACTTAGTAGAACTAGAAAATGCCAAGATTAAACAAAAGAAGAAAAAATACGCTAATGATGACAGCGATAGCATATCAACAAGACAACCTGCGTATGCGGCGGGTTGGCTAAATATGTGACGTCACACTAAAAGGGTCTATTGAAAACATAATTCGCCTACGACGGAGACTATTAAAACAAGTAATCAATCATTCTTGAGGTTTACCAAAAGGAGGGTAAATTCCATAATAAAATGAATAGTCTTTAAATGTATAAGTTGAACTTTCTCTAATTGAATATCGTAAACATTATAAATGGGACTCCAAACAATCGATGCATATTCTACTTTGCATCGCACAAAACGCTTTCCTTTCATCAACAAATGCATTTTTCCGAAAAGGTAAAAGTCGCACGGTGCCAAATCAGGCGAATACGAGGAGTGGTTGATAGTTAAAATGCGATTTTGGTAAAAAAATCGGTCACGAGTGTCGATCGATGAAATGGTACATTATCGCGTAACAAACACCAATTTTACCATACACTTGGTTCATCGATTCATTTTTGTACCGATGACGCAAACTGTCATTTCTTTGCTCAACAAAAATAACAAACAGTAGTGGCCCCAAGATTGACCCTTGCGGTACCCCTGAAGATTTATGGAATTTACATGACCGAAAGCTGTACAAACTGGTATCTACAAGTATTACCAGAAGTAAGATTTAAACAGCAAGGGTAACAAGGCAGAGGAGATACCACAAGATTCCAATTTCAATGTTAATTGTGATCAAGCTAGTGTCGAATTAAATTTTGAATATGTCATTGACTTTTACATTGTTTCATTATGATCATTGTTCTCGCGAATTGTTTTTCCTTCTCTTCTTATTCTTCTAAACTTTCTAGGATTCTTGGTTCGGGGGTATTTGGGGTTATGTGCGTGTTCAGAACATGTCGATGAACTTTTAAGGTTTTTGCCCCGCGTCTCGAGCAAAACCAGCTGTTTATTAACATACAAACTGTTAGTTAAAGTTTCAAAGTTAATATCCTACAATAAGCGGTAGGCAGTTTAATAACGATAACGCATTGTAATGGGACTGATTGAACCAGTTTTTCACGTGCTTTTTACAGATCTGGTTATGCTCAATTCAATTTTATTGTAATTACTCCGTAACTGTACCTTATAGATTCCCATTAACTTTTTTTTATTAAATTGTGAAATAGTAACGGTTGTATTATTAATTACCTGCGATATTTATGAATTAATATCAAAGTAAGTACACACCCAACAAATTCCTGTTGCCACAGGATGTAATTCAGCTTTTTACTCCTACATACGTTTTCTCGATTATTTGAATGCGTTCTTCTTTGTCCTTTCTAGAGATAACGTACTTAAAAAACGTGCAAATTAATAAGGAAATGTCAACGCTCAAAATGATAATTTTAATTACCACGTTTTCTATAGGCAGCTTGTAATTTTTTTTTCTATAAATTCATTGCGAATAATACCTCCTCCGCTTCTGAACCGAGCTTCTCGTGTCGATAATTACGAACAATTGACTACCTCTAAGTAGTGATGTAACGACAATTAAGTGTACAAATGAGCCCGTCTAGTGTGCCACGGAAACGCGACAGGACCGGCTTTACTACAATTTTCATTTACTTGAAAAGGAAATTACTTTGAATAAAACAGGGAAACAAAGGTTTTATTTGTTCTTTTTATCTGTGTTTGTCTTATTTTAGTAGTTCTTTTCTTCTACCAGCTCTCGTGGCTCATGTAAATTCCATCAATTTTCGGGGGTTCCGCAGGGGTCAGTCCTGGGACCACTGAAGTTTTTTATATGTTTACGACCTTCAGTTATTCATGGAAGTTAAATCTTATGCTCTGATTATACGAGACTACAAGACAACTTTTATAGTTTGTGTAACAACAATCTATCTCTGAATGAAAGCTAATGTAAAATTATGTCTGTCGACGTAGAACTACTCTAGATTTTGATTATAAATATAGTGTTACGTAATTTACTGTGATATTTGGATTGAGGAACATATTAGTTTAGTAACGAAGACTATTTCTAAACATTTAGGCTTTACGCAATAAACTTTATGATTTTTTTTGACAGATTTACTCAAAATATTTGCAAGATTTCGATGCCTTAATTAGATTAAAACACTTTCTATTAGTACACAATGATCTTCGAAGCACTACTGCAAACCGCAACGATTGTATTGAAATCGTGTAATTCTATTCTAAAAAGTTAAAGTAGATAGTAACACTGGACAGTAGATGTTCCGTTCAGAACCCACAGTAAATTTAGCGGTTCTCAACAAGTTTTCTGTCAAAAAACATCATGTACATTAATTTTAAATTTGACTTTTTTTATTCGTAAGATTCTCGCGGAAAAACTATCGATTGTATATTCTCCCACTGTTTGCCTAAAATAATCGAAATTACTTAACTCACAACATTTAAAGTTAAGTCCTTCAAGTCTCAAATTTCGCCTGCGACTATAAAAAAAAACGCGACGGCCCTTAGTACGGTCCTGGGCTTGATGCTCGACGGTCCACTCTCGAGATACAATCGATACGACCTCTATTTGCTTTTGTTGTTCAGGACAGGTGCAAACAAACGGCAATTAACGAACGTAAATACTTTCTGTGAAAATGTGCGCTTAGTTTCACACAATTAACATATTATTTAGGATCTGGAACACGCCGCAGAACGCATCTGGCGTTTTTATTGCTTCATTAATCA